GAGCCAATCAACAATTTTAAGCATCATTTTCGTTCTCAGTGACCCGGAATTAGTAAAGTTTGACTACATTTATTTCAGAAGCATTTTGGCTGTAGAGCAGTGTTATTAATATGTATTTGTGGTTAAGAGGGAGAGGAGAGAGGTAAAATTAAATGAGGGTCTGTTAGCTCCTAAAAATGTTTATTAAAATTGAAGGAACTGGTTGTTGCAGGGATAGATTATGCATATTTCAGTTCTTCTCTAAAGCAGTCTCATTTTGTCTCAGAATCTTTTTAAAGTGCACTGAATTTTTGTGTAGAGACTAATGCAACAGTCCTTACACAGCCAAATCCTCCAGTGATTTCAGTGGGAATTTCTGATTTAGACCTGCAGGGTTGTGCTCCATATGTCCTTTTAAGATATATGTATGATTTAGGCTAAAATCCAGATCCAAGAGTTCAACAAGTGTAGCCGGCCCACACACTGGGGATATGTACAAGATGACAGGAATAACAGAAGTAGCTATGCAGGATACATACAGAGCCCTCTTATCCCTTTCTTTACCAACCCTGCCCCTGTATGGGTGAAGAGGAATGAGGAAAAAAAAATCCACATATTGGCCATTCCCCCATGACCATTCAATATCACATTATTTTCTATACCCAGCCACAACAAGCACTCACAAATAACAGGGCAACATGCAATAGTTGCATATCCCCTGTGAATCTCCCCAACATCCAGCCCCGTCCCTGGGCTGGCCAAAGGTGTTTTGTTGCCCAGAGTAGAAAAAATTTTCGGCATTCCCCCTGAATGGCTGAGCCAAAGATCATCTGGGACAGAAGCAGGTTGAGTTGGCATCTTCAGAGATTGGTGATCAGGCAAACTGCCCTGATCATCCATTTCCTAAGGTTGGCCTAGCCCAGTCCTTCTGCAAGAGAACCACACCTATTTAGCCTCATAGGGTATGTCTACACACTGCAATTAAATTCTGCAGCTAATCCATGTCAGCTGACTCAGGCTCGTGGGGCTCAGTCTGCAGGGCAGCAGGCCCAAGCCCTACAAGCCTTTATCATCTGACATGGGCCAGCCACCGGTGTTTAATTTGCAGTGCAGACATACCCATAGGAGCCAACAGTGCAGAAGGAGGATGGATTTGCCCCAAAGGGCACATTTTCTTTTTAATTTGTGTCATGATTTTATGATATTTGATACTGTTTAGGTTTTTTTTTTTAAGGTGAAAATCTAATGTGGATTCCATTTACCATTTTAATTAGAAACCTGAAAGTACAGTAATACAAATTAGACCCCAACCTTGCAACACCTTTCCCGTGAACAGGTTACTGTGTATGTGCAGAGGGTTCCCTCCATGCAATATATTGCAGGACT